GAGAGAGAGAGAGAGAGAGAGAGAGAGAGTAGGCTTTGTATACAAGTCAAAAATAATCCTGCCCTTGTACAAACAAATAAGTTTTACATCCAAAAAATTAATTCCAAATTCATCGCCATAATCTACAGTAAATTTTATGCGTTCGTAAGCATTGAAGGAATTCAAGATGTTAGTGATTTTATTAGAAGGCGCTGCTAATAAGATATCATCCACATACCGATAATACACAGGTATGTGAATGGTGAGTGTATTAAAAATATTGTATTCCAAGTCTTGTATTACTAAGTTGCCAAAATTGGTGATAGAGGTGATCCCATGGGCAACCCGAAAATTTGTTCGTAAAATTCTTCATTAAACTTAAAAAATGTGGAATTTAAAATGACGGAAATGGCTCTTTTAAATTCCTGAAAAGGGATAAACGTATTCTTCTCTATCACATTCCATCTTCTCAAAACACTCCCCAAGGCTAATTCGATGGGAATGTTGGAATACATCGACGAGATGTCAAGCGAAACAATTCGATAATCCTCCGGCAAGGGTACAATGTCTACATGTTAAAATAATAATATTGAACTTATTGACATCTTGAGCTGTGGCTGTACTCGTATGCTTTTTATTTTTTAACCTTTGTAAAACTCTTAGCCACTTTCTAATAATTTAAAATTTTGTATAAAATAAATTTATTTTTTCAGTAATAATTGAACAAAACTTTTTTTACAAATAATAAAAAAGTGAGATATATTTTACAAAAATATATATTCTGTTATTACAACCAAATTTGGTTATAACGAACAAATATTGAAAAAAATGTCATAAAGTAACGTTTTCTTTGTTGTATTTCGACATTTTTCTCTTAGTGTAGATAGATAGTACGCGATGGATCGCAATACTGGCCAGCCAGATCACCCGACTTAACTCCAATATATTTTTCTTCTCTCTCCTGAGGGCATTTAAAAAATTATATTTATCAGGAACCAGTGCGCAATCGGGAAGACTTACACAATCGCAATGTTGAAGCAGTTACAAGCATATCACCTGATATGATAATCAATGCACAACAAAGATTATTGAGACGCGCAAGACTGGGCATTGAATGTGAATGGAGTACAATTCAAACATTTATAATAATGTACATAATTTATTTTGTAAATTAATTGTTATGAGGTTAATTAACTGCTAAAGTTGTACAAATAATCACAATTGTTCATAATTAATAATTTTACAATATTTATGCATATAAGTTTCTAATTTCTTCTTTTATTATTTTAATGAAATGTTTAAAGTGTATTTGAATGAGTTTTAATTGAATATTAACAGTACATAACTCTCATGTACATAAAGAGCTACTAATTTTTGTTAATTATGATATGAAATTATGATATGTAATTATGATATGAAATTGATAGCAGTTCGAAAAATTGTTATCTGACAGCTTGTGTTTTGTGTTTCATGGTAAATGTGTATCAAAGCTAAAAAATATTATTATAAAAAGGAAAATGTTAGTGCACAACATTATTGTACAATGCATTTGTAGAAATATCAATAGATAACATCTTATATTAACATATGTAATTCTAAAATCAATATTAACAAAAGAAATGATAAGACAGTTTTTGCGTTTTAACTTTGTTGTGATGTCCCTGAGCGCGCCAAAACAATATGATTTATTAACTTTAATTTATTAACTTTAAATGCTTATAATCCAAAAGTTATCATAGCCTTAACATTTTGGAATTTTCGTTTCAAAATGATCTCAGGAATCTTCCCATAAACGTTGTTTGGGTCTTTACTCTGTATACATATATACTATACATATATATGTACATATATTTATAGTATAAAATATTTTTTTCTCAAATGCTTATTTTCGAGATTTCACTGGTCCAGGACTTCTTAGTCAGTATAATGCAATTAAGAGTCAAGATCTTAATAACAATTATTGTAGTTTTAATGAAAAACCGATTTTTATAATAACAAATAAATTTTTCCGTAATTTTATCATAGACATGATTCAACAAAATAATAAAATAAACCATTATTTTCTTGTGTCCTAAAATTATATTTCCCGGATATTAGGACTATTTTAATTTATGATTCATGAAATTAGTAAGTGAAACTAAGTTAAAAAAGGACAAAATTCAACTTTTGTGCTCCCTAAATCACCTAAAATGCGTCACACTTCTTTCAGTTGTTTTATCGTTTATTCCAGCTGCGTCAGAAAAGTGACTAATTTGTTTCGATATATAGAGTGAGAAAAAGCGGCATGATTTTTTATCTCTTATCTAATATTTTTTAAATCGGCATAAATTCTATAAAAAAGTTAAAATGGAGTCGCGTAATCGTGAAACTCATTTTTCGATGACGTTTTAAATAAATGTATCATCTCTATTACACCTTTTTCGAGTATAACAGATAAATGAGATTTGATATTTAGGGTGAATAAAAAGTTCCAGACTGGTAAAATATCTCAAAAATTAAGCATTTCTGAAAGAAATGTTTCTTACAAAAGTTATAGGGTATTAAATGATATATTCACTGATCTGGTCAATCTGATCTTGAGTAGCGTTGCTAAGGTCAAATCAAGGTTGCATCGATTTTTTAAAATGACACACCCTATTTTTCATTCCAGAATCTAATAGCTGGTGTCAAGAGATTTTCAAAACATTATAATGAAGTTATTTTTCGTACTTTTCGAATTATAAGGTTTGAAGGTTACAGCACCACTGGCATTAGCATTACGCAAGGTGTCCGACCGACGGCTAAAACCTCTTTGTAGTTCAGGATTATATTCTGCATAACATTTATTAAGATCAAAACCATTAGAGATTATTCCTCTTATTTCTTTTCATCTTTATATTAAAAATTCATATTTACGTATGCTAATTCTAATGCCAGTGGGACTGTAACTTTCAAGCCTCATAACTCAAAAAGTATTTTACAAAAAGTAACTTTATTGTAGTATTTTGAAAAGCTTTTGATACTAACTATTAGATTCTGGAATCAAAAATAAGATGTGTCATTTAAAAAAATTGATGTGATCTTGGACAACACTCAAGGTCAGGCTAATGAGATCAATGAATAGAGAACACTTAAAACCCTACAACTTTTGTAGGAAACATTTCTTTCGGAAATGCTTAGTTTTCGAGAAATTGTACCAGTCCGTGACTTTTTACTCATCCTATATAATGAGATCTAGTTTGTACGACTGTTTTTTTAATTCTCTTTTTCTGATTTTTTTCTCTGCGTTCTTTTCCCTTTCTGTCTGGTGACGTGTGCACGAATACACACATTCGTATATGCTCATATACAGTTATCGCGCAAATGTGCGATGCAAGCGTATTATATGTAATGAAGCGAGATAAAGGGGATATTTATCTTTCTGGACTGAGACTCACTCTTTCTCTCTCGTGCACGCGCGCCATGAGTGAGTTACAAATATTGTGAGTGTAATTTTCGTTAATATCGTATTATATATGACAGTTCGCATTTCTCTGAGATAAATCCGAGACATCATCTGATCTCTTTGATTTTGGTTAATGTTTCCCGATAATTTGATTTGCTCCGGAAATAGAGACGTACAGACTGACATAAATTTTATTTCTCTCTCTCTCTCCCTCTCTCCTTCTCCCCTCTCTCTACCTTCCTTCCCTCTCCTTTCTCTCTTTCCTCCTTTTCTTTTCCCTTTCTTTTCTCGTTTGGAGCGTTACATCGTGCCGCATCGCACCACAACTTCACTGAACACAAGTTGATTTTTAGTTGCAACTAAACTCGGGTGCGACGCGCGTCTTCGAAAGGCATCGCGCAAATAACTTGATAACCGAGAACGGTGGATTTATGCCATCGTGAAAGAAGTCGCATTTTCTGGAAGTATAACTGCACCAGGAAGAAAAACATGTGTTTGCTCGCCGACAGATCGATAGAATGATAAATGTTCGATTTTTTGGCACAATATCAGAAGGTAGTTGAGATTTAACGCATATAAGAACGCATAATGTCGATGTAATGTGCGATAGAAGGTATCGGTACGTGCGTCGGTAATCTCAAATCTCGCGGGATAATCTCCGATCGCGTTGAATCAACACAGCAACTGTGAAATTGTATGGTTACAACTTTTGCGACGGTTATATCTTTCCTTCAATCCATGCGTTTTCCGCATGATTACAAAAGAATGTATAGGGTCCGTAACAAATCGCGAAGCTACCTCCTATAGTTTTTTCATATCAGTCGAATAGTGTAAGGGCTTTAGCATAAAAAAGTCGTGAAACGTGAGTCATAATCGTAAGTCAACGTACAATGTTTTGCCCAATCTACAGCTACGACTTATGTTCCACGACATAGTTACGGTTATCTCTGTGCTTAGGCTCTAACTTGCGCCGAGAGATCGAAGCAACTGCGATCGACTTTCGCAGCGGTACGGAGCGAGTAAACTTGCCAGAATTTGAATTAGCTGATGAAAATTGTTCCTCGGGAATCTCGAGTTTAATTCACTATACTTTACGCTCTGGTCTATAATTTGCACTTCCCTCCTCCGAAAAAGAGATCGTATATAGGAGATATATTATTGTGCGAACGAATTTATTTATCGTGCGGATTTCAGTCCGCCGGAAGTGATGACGAATGACGACTTCCCTGCTGGTGTGACGATGGTGACGATAACGTGGTAGTAGTGGAGAACGCATGGTACCATTACATTCGAGTGCAGTCGAGTGTTGCATTGTGCTTAAGTACGCGCGTACTCACATACACGCGCACGTGCTGACCTAGAGGAAGCGAAAGGAGAGAAGGAAGGAGAGGATGTCGACTCGCCGCCGGGCGACCGCAACCGCATCGTGCGGTGAAATACAGCGTCCTGTTTTCAGTTAACGGCCAATAGCTCTTTGAAAGTTTCGCCTTATCGACGATGAACTGGAATGGTTGATCGGATCATGCAAAGCAACGAGAGATCATGCTTTGTGTGTGTTGTTTCCTCATTGGGGTAGTTCCGCGGTGCAGTCACGACTATGCAGCTGAAGAAAGCGATGCTTAAGATATTTGATCAATGTAAGTTTCATGCACGTGAACGCGCGCGCTCTCTACTGTTGCAGTTATTACTAATAATAATAATAATAATTTTTTCCTTCGTTTAGCTAAAGAATAGCGCGCCGTTCTGTCGACGTTTTAAAGTCTTAAACATCTCGAAGTTATATATACACATACGATGAACGGTGACGTTTAGGCCGATAGTTAAACGTGTGCATTTTACATCCATTTATGCGTAACACGAATGAGATAATGCATGTGCGGCAGCGTGGTTTCCTCCTCGTACGTAGCACGCTCCCCCCGCCCCCTCCCCATTAAAAGCCTTCAGAACATAATAACGTAATAACTGTAGGGCACAGATCGGAAATTATGTGACATCACGGGAAACCTGCGACTTCGCCGCGACAGATGTACGTCGCATAACTCCGTTATTATTAGGAGAAATCGCGAATGCGCGAATAATTCGTGCTACAGATTTTTAATTTAGAAACATTAAATTTGTCAGGGTAAAAATACGTGGCATATTGAAAAAAATTGTATTAATTTGAATGAAGTATATTATATATATTTAATATTTTTAATGGTAGCATCAAATTATTAAATTGCTTGTTAATTTAATTCGCGATTACTAGAGTAGTTTTAATTATAGCGTTTATAGTCCGGAAAAACAATTCGGCACGCAGTTCTAAAAAGACTAATATGGTATATATGCAAGTACATAGTGTATATTAGTAATTCAAGATTGAATTATTTAAAGCAATGAAGATCCAGCTTCGACCGTAATAGGCACTTTTCTAGTATTGATTGTATTTTTCACATATGCGGTCTAAAATAAAGATTCTTAATATTGTTCATATATACAATATTTAATAATTAGACTATTTGATGAACATAATTTTGGAGTCAAAGATAATCAAACAAATATTTATACCTCGAAACCAAATGGTTGCATGCATTTTAATGGAAATGACACAACTTTTGATTAAAATATAATAACAATCTCTAAAATATAATAACATCTCTTATTAATGTGTGAGCTAAATTTAGTTTTGTCGTAATATACGAATACCTAAAATTTAGCAGCGCTATCAATTTCAATTATATATATATAATATATATATTGTATTATATATTACATCTTACTATTATATATACCTATATATTAGACTGACAAGAAAAACAAAATTTTTTTAAATCGGCCTCTCAACTTAAAAGCTTTCATTTCATGTCAAAAGAACACTTCTAAATTTTTATAAAAAAATATTAAGATTTAGAGGTCGCTGAACGATTCTTAAATCGAAGTTTCGATTTTCCTTAATATGTTACATGTTTAATTTGATGCAAAAATGGTTTAATCCTGATTTTAAATGTGATACTGTATGTTTTTTTGGTTGCTGAACACGATTCATTTAGCTGTATGATATACGTCTTAAGAAATATAATCTGATTAATTTGAAAAAAATGATTAAATTTTTAGATTTTCAAGATCGATTTTAACAAGGTTCCAAGCGTTTAATTGGTTGTTATTCTCAAATTGTAGATCTGTTCACCCAGAACAAGATCTAGTTCAAATTTTCCCGGGATCTCCTACATAGCCTTTAAAAGTTGTATTTAACTGGATTATAAAACGTTTTTATGGATAGAAAAAATTTGTTTACGAATTCTAAAGTATATCGCTTTGTGATTTTGACATCCTCAACTCAAATACCTTAATTTGATAATAAAAAATTCTTTATTAGAAAATGAAATAAGTAGATAGTACAAAAAAATATGTGTGTGTGTGTGTGTGTGTGCGCGTGCGCGCGCGCGTGTGCGCGTGTGTGTGTGTGTGCGTGCGTTCGAGCGCTTGCGTGTATGTGTGTGCGTGCGTGCATGCGCGCGCAATACATTTAAATTATAATAATTTAAATTTTTTTTAATATTTTAACTTTTATCCTTGATTTTATTACTTTTTTATTGTAATAATTTTGAAAATGGAAGATACGCTATATATATAATATATATGTACAATATATCGATCTAGTCAAAAATAAAAATTGTTTAAAAGAATGATAAGGACAATATATTTTAAATATGTATACATATATTTTTAAGAAAATTAATTTAAAGTAAGTAAGTTTGTGTTTTGTGTATGTGTGTGTCAAGCAAATGGCATTAATTTCTAAATAGACATGTTTTAAGGAAAGAGACTATAAAAGTAAATATATCCTTTTATTAAAATTTTTGGTGTACTAATGCACATTATTAATCTAAGAGTACTATAGATCTAAGAATATTATACATTAATCAAAGAGTAATTTAAGAGACTAGTAATAATATAAAATAATATTTTTAAAATAAAATAACATCAAATATATTTCGATTGTAACATTTCTTTATACTCACTTTTGAGAAGATATGTCATAAGATAATTAGTTGTCTCTTCAGTCTTTTTTCTTTATTTCTCCTTTTGGGTTTGTGTTATACACATAAGGATTTTTGGCTAACTTTAGCCATGATTGTATAGCATCTTTAATACATGCATGATCAGAAGAATTCCTCCTTTTAAATTGTATTTTAGTAGCATCTGTAAAAACTAAATTTCGATTATGTAGATTGAACTATATGTATATACATATACATTTATGCATGTGTGAATATAGAGGAGAAGGTGATATTATGGCACTCCAGTTACATTTTATACAATAACTTTTTTGTTAATAATTATTATTAATACGTAGGCTGCTGGAAAAGTTTCTGCAAACAATATGAAAAAAAACATATAAAATTTGGTAAATGGCTTTATTGTTTTTCAAAGTATTCGCCTTTAAGATTGATTTTTGCATACGCTCGAATCAATTTTCGAAGCATTTTTTTCCACTCTAAGACTGTAATCTCAGAAATCAATGTACGAAATGTTTCAACAGCTGCTTCAGGTGACTCAAATCGCTCACCACGCATCTTATTTTTAATGTTTGGGAACAAAAAGAAGTCATTAGGTGATAAATCAGGTGAATACGGACAATGAGTCATCAATTTAACATTATTACTGGATAAAAAAATCAACGGTTTGACATGCTGTGTGACAACTGGCGTTGTCATGATGAAGGATGATGCGACGATTTCGGTTTGTTCTACGCAATTCATTATGTCTTCTGGCAAACAAATTGTTCTATACTAATCAGTATTTACATCCTTCGATCCTCTAAAGCCACGGTTGTCACATGTCCGGTATAACCAAAGAAACAAGCAATCATTTGCTTGGCAGCACTGCATGAACGAACAACTTTTGTTGGTTTCCGTTCATTTTGAAATACCCAAATAGTGGATTGTTGTTTACTTTCGGGCTCATACGAATAGATCCATGTTTTGTCCCCAGTAACGATGTTGTAGACCAAATTTGACCGACCTCGGTTGAATTTCTTGAGCATTTCTTTGCTCCATTTAACACGAGCCTGTTTTTGAGCTTCGGTCAAATTGTGTGGGATCCAACGATTGCAAAGTTTCCGTACGCTCAAGTGATTATGCAAAATCATATGTATTGCTTTCATGTCAATACCTAAGGATGCATGAATCTCGCAATATGTTATATGCCGGTCTCGCTCAATCATTTCACGCACAGCATCAACATTAGTGGCAACAACAGACGTGAATGGACGACCTTCATGGAATTCATCACTAAGAAAGGTACGTCCACGCTGGAATTCGGCAAACCAATTAAACAGTCCTATTGGATGGTGCTTCATCTCCAAAAGCCAAATGAAGTCGATGTATTGTTTCGGAGTTAGATTACATTTGTAAAAAATCATTGAGAGAAAATTTTCACGCGAAATTTCCATTTTCTTACAAAATAACTTCTTTTAAAATACTATGCAAACAAAACTAGTTGGCTTGGGTACAAACTGTCAATTGAATTATAGGTTAAAAACGTCTAATTTTACGGATATGATAGTAGCAGAACGTTGGCGCCATTGGAAGTAGTAGATTGCAGAAATTTTTCCAGCGGCCTACGTATTTAAGTTTAAAACTTGACAATTACATTCGTTAAAATGTTGTTGAATCGATTCGAGACTCGAAGTTACGAAATATTTATTACTTAGGATACTATTAACAAAAATGTGGCAACATTGCATAATAATCTGAAGAAAAAATGGGTGGTAATGTAACCATTCATAAAAATAGCCTTAAAATATTTAGCCTTAAAATATTAGCTTGTAAATTACATTGGTATTTAGTTACAAAATTAACAAAAAAATATAACATTTTAAAATAAATGCAAATGAATGTATATATATTCACATAACTTCTGCAAAGCTGCTCAGTACTAAAAATATTACACGTAATATAAACTATAGAGAAATAAACATTAACAGTAGAGACTACAATCGATTATCAAATAATTATTATGATATAAAAATCTCAAAAAAGAGGCTATGAATAATCTATATCAATAGAGGACCACATTAACAAAATGTCATGCTACTGTTTAAATTTGTATAACTCAAAATACTTATATACAGTCAAATAAAATATTAAATAGCAAATAACACACTCAAAAATACACATATCCATGTGACAATACGCTCAAGTTTAAGAAAAATGAGAAAGTAAGTGTAATTAAATGTTAAAATGTAACTCAGAAACATTTTGAAACACTTGAAAGTAAAAATGCGTTATAATAAGTGCTGGTTATTGAATATTGGTATATTAGCGCCATGGTGTAATGACGAACCAATAATTCCATAAATAATCATTCAGATTCGCTTATAATAGCGGAGATATTAAGGGAAGCCACAATATATACACTGGCCATAATATGACCTTCTCCTCTATACAGGGTGTTAGTTAATTATGTTATACTCAACAGAATAATTTTTTGGTTTATTTCAAGTAAAAAAGTCTATATAAACATGAATCCTAAATGGTTTAGTTTCCGAAATATAGGTGAATGTTCGCAAATGTTTGACGAAACGGTAAATTACATTGGAGATATCTTCCTGCATAAATATGCCTTGCTTCACGTGAGTTACCATTCGCATAAC